CTGGAATCCAGGCATTATTTTCGCCTCTTTGTGGATGTATGTCCGGTCAGGCATGCACTTCCATAATAATCCAGTTTCATCCACATTGAATATTTGCTCAGGCAAATATTTCCCTTCCACAATCACATCATCTAACTCCTCCTTAAAAGCTTTGGCAGCACCAACATCGGCACTAGCTGCCTCTCCACTCACCTTAACATTGTGTAAACTGTAGCATTTTTTGAATCTATTAAACCACCCATGACTTGCTGTAAAGGTTTGCTCACATTCATCTCCTGCCTGCTCCTTCAGGCTTTGGAACAGGCTTGTTGCTTTAGCCTGTAAGGTTAGAAGGCTTAAGGTACACGCTTCTGTATTTGGTCTTTTATCCATATCACCAATAATTTTTCCATATCGTGAATAGGACCTTGTCTTTTCTTTGAAATTATAGTTCCCTTTATAGGTGTTGTTCCTTTCACTACATCATGAATACGTTCCTTGTCCTTCAGAATAGTGGATATGGTTGAGTGCGAGAAACCTAGATCGCGTGAGATTGTTGATACAGTTTTTCCATTCTCATATTGCATTATTACCTTCATTTTCATCTCAAAGGTAATTGCCTGTCTCCTTTTCTTCGGAGCACCACCATCACTCTCACTTGTACACTTTCCAGTCATTATAAAGTCAATTAAATACGATAATAAAGTAAGTACACAGCGCGATCAGTATAGGATACGATAGCCAAACATTAACTAAGTGCTGTACTGAGTGAGTGTAACCACGCGGTGACCCAAGCCAGCCACGCTCTCGCTCGGGACGGAAATTTTTCGGTATAGAAAATGAGTGCGTCATTTGAAAAAAAATTGGTCACTGGAGATGTTTGGGGTACTTGGTTCTAACTACAGGAGCGAACATAAACACCTGTAGAGTTCTGTAGGTTCTTATTAACGGAAATATACAGGGTGCGCTTACAAGCGCGGGTAGTCCTTACACTCCTATAGGGGTCAACTAACCTCTCAGGCGACATGTGGTAAGTGGTACATTAGCAGCTTCCAGATGTCGCCAGGCACATTTATCTAAGCGTGTGGTGACATGAAACAGGGGCATTGCTACATGCTACTGACTAGAGAAGTAATGTTTATATATATAGAGTACAGTACATACATGGTATACATACAACATACATAATATACATACAGTCACGACTGCGGCTGTCGTATGTGCGGACGGTCGTAAGGTCAGAGCAGGTCATAAGTACGGATTGACATACGTTGAGTCAGTCGTAAGTCGGGGACTACCTGTATATATAGTGATTTAAGGGCTATTTAGGGGAATTTTTGGAGTGTTTCTGACTATGGATTTTTGGCTTTACTTTGTATGTACTTTTCTGCTAGCTGGAACCAATATCCCACTGAAATAATGGATTCGGTTAACGAACGACTCTGTGGAATGAATTGTGTTCGTTAACCTGAGGGTCCACTGTAATTACAAACCTAAATTCTAAATTACATACCAAAGTAAGGGTCTGGTTTGCCAGTTCCTGGGGAAATTAATTGGGCTATATCTTTAACTCAAAATTGTAGCCCGGAGCAGACTGGGCGCCAACATAGAACAAAGGCCTCGGCTTGTGTTTTCTTGGTGTGGGTATACCCACATCACTTCAATCTGTATTTAGGGATCCTCCCCTCACACGTTGCAATCGTTGAATACATTCATAAGATTTTCTGATCATTGCATTGTTCGTGGTTATTCGTCACATGAGGTAACGAGGTGTACTAAGCTCACACCGAGGTATACAAGGTATTCTCTTTGAAGTATACTTTCTGGATCACTTCCAACACTTCACTTACTTCTGGTACATATATCCTTTTTCCAGATCATTGTTCTCTTATATTTTCATCTGATACCTGCGGTAGCTATGTTCACTAATCGTTCACCGACGTAAATAGTATGACCTTCAAACACGGTCTACACTTATCCCTTATAGTACACTTGTCCGTATCAATTGGACCTTCCCAATCATCCTATAGATAACTTGAGTTCTCCTTAATGCTCTAAGTACATACACTTAATATTATATGACCGTACCTTGGTACAATCCGTCTAAAACAACATACAGTAGGTGAGTTATCCCTTCCCAAAGTTTCTCGTTTTCTACTGTTTTCTGTGACTCTACAAGTGCGGTGGATTTGAATGTTATGTAGCGTAATATGAATAAAAGAGATATTAAGGATGACACTGATGTGCGCAGTACACCACTTACACATCTCCAACAAGGGAATTAAGACAGCAAGTATAAGGAGTGAAGGTCTTACTGTATGACACATCTGCGTATGTGTGACTGCGTGGTAGCGAGTTAAATATCAGCTGTTGAGATCGTGGCAACTCTCATTTCCACTCCATCTTTCTAATTACCCACACCTTTCTGCTTTCTAACTCCATATTTTAAAATGTTATGTAATGTAATTTTGAAGGGATACAACTTTCATTCATACTTATACTTACCACAACCTTCCTAAAATTACTTTAGGTTTCGTGTTTATTCAAGACATCTTCAGGTCATGAGACCCACTAATCCCCCACCCAAGAAAGGTGACCTGACATTCCAGCAGAAGGTCAGTAATATGAGACCACTAATCCCCCAACCTACCTCCACCTGACATTGAGTCAGGTTAGGTCCCCCCCACAAAAATACTTTAACTTTCATCTTTATTCAAGACATTTTCAAAAAATTCTCTCGATTTTTAACCTCGGAATTTTTTTTTCTAAAGTAGGAAATTTTTGGAAAATTCCGGCTTTGGGAACGATTTTTCGAGCAAATTTACAATCCAGCTATCAGAGATTTCCAGGTTTGAGGGATTCCGGCTAACGGAGATATTACTGTAGTTGCTTTATTGCTTACACATAATTTTAGCTTTATATCTTAATTAGTATAATGACATCAGATTTGCTCACTTGATTGAGATGAGCTAATTAGTTCATGTAACTTTCTTTTAGTTCTGCTGAATTAGTTTGTAATGAATAAGATAAAATTTTATTAAAATTTTATTGTAACTACCAATTTTATTGAATAGCACTGGATCTGTTTCTGTAAAACAGAAAATTCGAAAGGAATTGTGTTTCTATGCCTAATGTGTTATTAGTCTGGTGGGCTTTTCGACAAATAGAATCGATGACGGAACAGACTTGGTTGTTAGTGTACGTATACAGTACAATATGAGCTAAGCAAGGAAATTCAACATTGGCAGAGCTTCGTCGTATTCAAGATAATTAGGATTCAAATCTCCTTCCTGTGTCTGAGAAGTGCTTGTTAGGAGGAAGGTTTAGGTTGATACAGGATAGGGAAAGACGAAGGTAAATTTAATTTTATTTACCAGGTAGTTATTTTTAATTCATGGTGCATTGTCATGCAAGTTGTCAACAAGGCAACTTTGGTAGTGAATGAGCTGAAAGTAGTTGTATGTGTTATGATGAACTTCAGTGCACAGTTAATATTAAAAGTACAGTATGTTACATCTCTTGAGACAACTTGCTTCTTCCAGCTTCTATGGAAAAGACAAAGTATTTTCTCCAATTGTATACAAGGTATATCTACGGCAAACTTATTCTGTAACAAAATACAGTAAAACAAATAGATCCACAAGCGAGACAACTTGTTGTGTGAAAGGAGATAAGGGCAGGGTGGGGGACTCTCATACAGCCAGGAACTAGACAGATAATGTGTCTATTTGGAAGTGTTGCATTTAGGTTGTGTTTAGATTATTAGCTTTTGTTAGAGTTAATTTTATACAGTAATCAATATCGTTCATTTATATTAGATGAACTCAGTTGGGTGTTCTAAGTGGTTATACTCTTCACCTGAGCATAGGGTAATATTGAATTAATTGGTTGTAAGTGAGAATATATGGTCGATAACGTCTTACTTCCAATTTTCAATAAATTACTTTTAAGTGACGTCTTACTGTGGTAATTTTTATATTGTAACACCAATGAATAGAAAAAAATAAATCTTACATCTATGGTCAAGCAGTTATTTACATTCACCTGACATTCAGTTTGCACTTCTAAGGCATTTTACAAAGTGATAAGTTCTAAACGAGACAAAGAGCTTATGTAACACTGTTATATAGCCAATTTTCATGGAACTCCCAAGAAAGTGTGACAGCCAAGTAGATTCCCATAATATGTCTTAACTGTAAGATGTTCATTTGAACTTTCTACATTTGTTTATGACATTGTCTAAACTTCAAGTGGAGACAGAATGATAGGTCTGTCAATATCAGTCAAGACAATTGCCAACATGTGTTTTTTTTTTTTTTTTCAATGATATTTTTTATTAACATGTTTGGCATTTCTGTTTTCAATGCTCATCTTCAAAATTAATTTCTATTCAATTAATCTTTTACATTTCCTTAGTACTGTACCAGTACATACATGTATATCAACCAAAGTGATACAGTAATACAATACAGTACATTGATAGTATTTTGTTTTAAACTGATTTGGCAGTGAATGAATGAGGTGCCCTTTCTTCTGCCTCACCCCCCCCCCATGCTTACATCACCCACCCCCAACTTTGTTACCACCACATCTATATCATGACATATTAACAGAGTAGGATGGAAGTCTCATCATCTATCAACCAATAATCATGAACATTTTGATTGTTAACCATCTGTACAAATTTATGTTATATAAACATTGCCCTAATAGCTCTAGATGTGCAGTATTTCTAGTTTTCTAAGTAAAATGGCTTTTAATTTAGGATTTATATATTTACCGTCATTTTATCTTATGATACATAATATTTTTGAGAGATATCCTCTAAATCAGATAGCTGATAAGTAGCTTAAAGTTTGGTGCGAGTTTGTTTTACAGGAGCTGCTCAATCACTAAAGCCCAGATTCATTCAGAGAATAAATGCCAGGTGTCGCTATTTGCACATGAGTGTGTCCTAAGATTATTGTGCACGACTATAATAATTAAAATATTTCTATGTCATGTTTTGTTGTTCTTGATAGAGGGATACTTCAGCTCAGATGGGAACCTGTGCTACTGTGAAACCTGCCACAAAATACGTGGTGATGAACCCTACTATACAAAAGGTGAGTACTTTATGATTTGGTTAGGTTGTCAAGAAACTTGAGCTACATGGTATATACTGAGAGAGAGAGAGAGTGGGTTAAATAACCTATTTTTCACTCATTTAACTAAATTTCTAAGTTAGTGAGGAATTTTATTTGTTGGGTGAATTTTACAAGGGATTTAATTAAATAACTGAAAATATTCAGACTTTTGTTCAACAAATTGCCAGGTAGGCAATCTCCTAGTTTAGTGTGGTCTATTACCCCCAAAGTTGCATTCCATTATTTTTATCTTATTTTCTGATTTTTAGAATGCCTCGCATACTCCATAGTTACAATGGTCAGGAATTTACAGATTCACTTATCAGTACTTATAGTCTGGATGCAAGGGAACAATACAAAGACTTTGGCAGTTGGCTTTAAGTTTGAACATTTCACTTGTCACATGTTCCTAGTTTTTCCAGATTGTCCATTGAACATGTGAGTCCAGAGGATATCCCAAGATTTGAATTAGTAACTGGAGATAGAAGCTATGAATACATAATTATGTGAGATGAAAGTTTTTCTGATCATCAATGGTAAAGATCATCACTGAAGATATTAAAGAAACCTTAATAAATTGCATTGGAGAAGGAAATCTTATGTAGAGACAAAACTTTAAAGCAACATTTAAGGACAGTCAACATTTGATAAATAACAATAGACAATAGAGGGGGTGCTGGTGGTAGAGTGGTACGCTCTTGCCTTCGCAAGTGAGATGTCCGCAGGTTCGATTCAGGCCGGTGGAAGTTGTTTGGACATATTTCCTAGCCCCCATTAGTCCCTGTTCACCTAGCAGTAAAGTAGGTACCTGTTGTAAATCGAAAGTTGCAATTCAGTATTCAGGACAAGTTGGAGCTTCCAATAACTGTGACATTAACCATTGACTCTTCAGGCTTCTACCCTTAACTCATGAGACATAAAGGCAAGCATGAACTTAGCATGCTTCCTTGTTGAGCACTGTAAAAGCTTCGTGCTTCACCTTACATAAGGATGTATGGAGTGCAAAAAAAAAAAAAAAATAGACAATAGAATGAATTATTACATTATAAACTAGACACCTTGACTTAACATGAATCACTTTATTAGAAAACAATACAGAGTGGACTTCACACTGGTTGTGTACCAGCCGTCCTGGTACTACAAGAATTTCAGCATAATGCCACTGAGAGTCCTAAGAGCCTCTGGAGGTAAACAATTCTCTGAACAAGGTGTTGATGGTAGAAATGTTCAACTGTTACAAAGAAAGCAAGAGCTCTTTGCTAACTTAAGAATCTAATTCTGAGTCTCAGACACTCCAACAGATGTCAGCTCACAGTGGCGCCTCCTCCTCATAGATGCCAACTAATGCTCTTCTGGAAGTATCTGGTGATGAGACCCCAGCTAAAATAGTGGCTGGCAGCTGGGACCCCTGGCATAGGAGTCACTTCTATGGATCCTCCATATGGGGAGCCATCTCCAGGGGTTAACTCTGGTGTGGGTCCACCAGATGGGTCTACATCTGGGTTGTCTGTGGCCACAAAGCCACAGACACCTCTTTCAACCCTGGGGCAGGACAGAAAAGCCCAGCCCCACTGGAGTCCTTCCCTTCCCTCAACAGGGAGACTGTAAAACTGCGGTCACACTAGAGTTTCTACCCAAAATAAATCCACCGTTGCGTTGATTTTTCAACAAACTCCTCAAGTTGACTCTAGAGCGACAACTTATTTGCTGTCAAAAGTGGGAAGGTACGGAGTGTCTGAAAATCCAGAGTACGGTGGGTTGACATTTGCTAATAACATTTACACCATTCTTGTTTTTTCTTATTAATGTTAAAATGTACAAAAAATATATAAAGTATATTTCAATAGCAAAACACGAACAAAAATGCCATACTAAATATAAAATAATAAAAAGAATACATCACTACAGTAATTTCATTTGACTCTAGAGTACTTGCGTCACTTTTGTAAACAAACACCTCCTGGACGCTACTGCCGTTTCTTTTTTGTCTTGGTCTTCTTTAACGGGATCATACATCTAACTAAGTGGTTAATGCTGCCATAGAAACATACAATGAAGCGATCCTGCTCTCCAACTAGCCACGTGAGCTGGATTCCTAGGCCTGGCCAATGGTTCCTTTCACCAGTGTGACCAGTGTGCAGATCGTACTTTGACTTATTGCCTGTGGATGAAATGCTATCATGGATTTATTGCACTGAAAACTTTAGTGTGACCTTAGCTTAAGAGGCACATGTCATGGTACACTGTTGGTGCATCCTCTAGTCTCCAACACCCAAATTATGCCTGTGCCTAAATGTCTGTGTTGGGGGTGCACACTTGCCTACCACTACCTAGATATCCAATAATCATGGCTACCATAGTCCAATGGAATTGTCAAGGCTTACGATCCAACTGCACGGACCTCCAGTTGCTCCTGAGCAAATTCTCCCTTATATGCATTTGTTTCCAGGTGACAATGTTAGGTGCCTGTGAACATCCCCCTTCCAGAGGTTATTCAGCTTTTTATTCTCCTTATAATCCGGAACAGAATCATAATGGGGGCACATTATCCATCACTTCCCCGTTGCAAGTGACAGCTTGCAAGATTCACCTCCAATGTACTTATACCATATACTCCATTTACCTCCACCCAGTACACCAAATGCCAGGGAGAATTTGGTTTCTTTACCTTGTCAGCTTCCTTCTTCTTATCTTATCCTCGGTGATTTTAATGGAAGGCATACCCTCTGGGGTGATACAATAGTTAATCCAAGGGGTGACCTGATAGCTTGGATAATTGAAGAAATGGACCTGGGTATACGGTATTAAATATTGGTGATATCACTCGCTATCACGACTACAGCCATAGATCTCTCATTGTTCTCAATAGACTCTACTGGACTTTGAGTGGAGAGTAACAGAAGACCTCAGAGGAAGTGACCGCTACCTTATTCTACTTTCCTCTTAGGATGTCCTCCTGGCACCACGAGTTCCCCACTGGTGGTTAGACAAGGTGGACTAGGACTTGTACAAGGAACTAGCAAAGGTAGACAGGAGCATTGAAGAATTTCCCTCTGTAGATGAAGAGGTTCAAGAACCTAACCAGCCTCCTCCAATCGGCTGGTCACTGTTCCATTCCTTGGGCCCCTGGTCGTGTAGCTCGTGGACCTATTCCTTGGTGGTCAGAGGAGTGCAGACAGGCAGTTTGCAGGGGTGTCTTCTGTGGCAGCTCAATCCTCAGAGTTTACGTGGATGTGTAAATTAGAGTGTCACAGGCCCTGGATTTTGGAGTGGTATGTGGCAAGACATACAACATCATGTTCTCAATGAGAAGAAATGAGAACTGCCCTCTTATTCACTGGAGATGCATCACCAGGTCCCGATGATATCCCATTTTCAATGCTCTGCCACCTTGAAATTGAGGCATATATAACAAGATCTGGCAAGAGGGTGCCTTCCCATGCTCATGACAGGAGGCTACTGTCCTGCCTTTCAAGAAGACTGGAAAAAGGGTCTTTACCCACTAGAATATCACCCCATAGCTCTGACCTGTATCTGCAAGCTGTTTGAAAAGATGGTCAACTCGCAATTAGTATACTGCCGGGAGAAGAATGCCCTTCTTTCATGATATCAATCTAGCTTCTGGAAGATGCATTCAACAACAAATGCTCATGTTCGTCTTTTGCTCGTCACTAGCATCTTGTCTACGTTTTCTTAGACCTAGGGAAACCATACAACACAGCTTGGAGATTTGTCATCCTTAAGTAGCTTCATAATTTTGGATTGCAGGGAAGTTTACCATCAATAGTAAGTCAGTTCATGGGACATTGCACTTTTAGGGTCCGCTTAGACACAGAAATGTCAGCACCACATATTCAGGAGGACGGGGTTCCCCAGAGCAATGTCTTGAGTATGACCCTATTTGCCATTGCAATAAATGGGGTAGCAGCATCAGTTCCAGGTGATGTATCAATATCATTGTATGTAGACGACTTGGCCTTTTGATATGCAGCTTCCTGCATGTCATTGGCTGAAAGTTGCATGCACTTTGCACTAGACAAGGTTTCACATTCGAGCACAGAGCATAATTTTAAATTTTCTCCCTTGGAGACTGTTGCCATACATTTATGCCGCATGCAAGGTGTTCACCCAGATCCCATTCAACAGCTCTATGGTTGTTGTATGCAGTGTGTCACAGAGACCCATTTCCTGGGTATTATCTTCGACAAACGCCTTAAATGGCAGCCATGTACTCCTTACCTAAAAGAATCTTGCCATCATGCTCTCAATTTATTGAGAGTCTTGGGGGCACACATCATAGGGTGCTGACTGAGGAACTCTGCTACACTTTTACCACTTGCTAGTGAGACTCAAACTGGATTATGGGTGTGAGGTGTACTCCTCAGCCACTGAAGCTACACTCAATACACTAAACTATATTCATCATGCTGGAGTGTAACTGGCGACCGGTGCTTTCAGGTCTTCATCAATCCCATGTCTACTAGTTGATGCTGATGAGCCACCCATCGATCTTCAACATCAGTATCTCTAGGCCTAGTGTTGGTTTTGCCTCCACTGCCTTCCACAATCTGTAACCAATATTTGTGGAGTTGACGAAACTATGTCCCCACACTACACTCAGCATCCAAGCCTCCTTTGACCTTTTGGCTTCAGGGTAAGAGAGGTTGTGAGAATTCTTTGTCTTCCTCCTGTTCAGCTATACCCAACGAGGTTACCTAGTCCCACTCCATGGATTCTCCCTAAAGTTCAAGATTGTAAGTATTTTAACAAAAGGAAGGACCTTCTCCCTCCCCGTGTTGTCCATTCTCTATTTTTAGAACATGCCTCCTCACACAGGGGGACTTAATCCTGTATACACCAATGGCTCTAAGTCAGATGCAGGGGTGGGTTTTGGCATGTTCTTTCCTGATTTCTGTCAGGACGGTAGTTTCCCCACTACGGCATCTATTTCTACTGCTGAGATTTCAGGTATTTTAATT